TATATGTTCAGTTAAGAGCAATGTATTCTGCAGAGATGAAAACTTGTTCGCAAACCTGAAATATTTTTAGTAATATTTACCTTGTTAATAATGCGAGATACAATTTTACGCGAACAAATACGATGCAATTTTAGAATATGATAAAAGAATAGACAAGAACCTAAAACTGATCTTACATTATAAAATGCATTAAAAAAAAGAACAATTAATAATGTACAAGAATAGACAAATAATAATAATAATAATAATAATAATAATAATAATAATAATAATAATAATAATAATAATAATATAAGAAATATTTATTTTTCATTTTCTTCATTATGTTTGAGACACGTGTGTAAGTTGCGCTTTAATAAGTATGATAACTTCAATTGTGATCCGATTAATTGTTATTGAAATATATGTGCAATGTTTAGGAACAATGTCCTTTAATGTCCAATTATTATGTTTAATTTATTCACTATGTACAATAATACTTCACCCGTCTCGTAGATGGAGTTTCCTCTCAAGAATTCATAGGTATCATAGGCATATTTCGATGTTTCTGATTAAAGGTTAACGCTCCAATACCGAATGCCGCCCTGATATGTTCCGTTATTTTTGCATCTACTCGCCACGTCAAGGGTCTTCCTCTATGATGCCGTATAGAGACAGAGGGTTGCCGTAGCTTGCACAGAGCAAAGACTTGTTACACAGAGATTACTATAAGAAGGGACCGCTTTGACAGCTACCGCATGGCTACTGTTGGCAACAACTGCAAGTAATGTCCTCTCTCTCTCTCTCTATTCATCTATGACGTTCGTTTATAGTCAGCTCATTTGTAAATGGAATCATCACTATCTCTTGCAATGTCATCAAGTTTCTCGATTACTATATAAGGATTTCCGTCGCTAGTAGTCCGTAGTCAGTAGACATCTCTATTTGTCCCATCTGATTGTGTTGGCTCAAGGACACAATAGCTTCCACGTTATCACGGCTTATCAATCTCTGCAAACGACAATAGATTTAGAGGCTAATGTGAAATGTAGATTTTCTAAGAGAGTGCAGTTTCTTTTTTCTCTTTTTTTTCTTCCAGGTCTAAGATCATTTTGGTTTACGTCTGCTCATTCAAGACTGTGCCCGCCATCGCAATGGAAATAACTTTCGCGACTGAAACCGTGAGTATCGAGACATCTTTGATTTATTCTTACCCCCTTAGATTTTATCTAACAGTCAACAACGTTCCTTGCTGTATTTAATTACTGATTTGATCGCTTATTAAGGATGTTTGCCAACTGAAACTTACCTATTTATACTGTCAATGTTCATGATTCGATCAGGATCTTTCTGTAAGCAGGAAGAAATTAATATTTCTAATATCTGAATTCAAGATTATTCAAAATAGCATAAAGTTTCGATTTTTTCTGTGATGTTTTGTAAATTGTCTCTCCTAGAACCAGCTAGTATTAGTTTCTCAGATTATGTAATCCTTCAGACATGCGTAGGTACTATTTTGTCGTGTTTTTTACTGTTGTCTAGGAATTATAACGAATAATTTGCACAAAAAGAATAAATTAATTCGAAATTCCGCTTACCTTTGGAGACACATCTACGACGAACCTGAGCGACTTGGAGGAAGGAGAGGCGGACGGGGTGACGGCAATGCTCATCGAAGAACTCTGGGGCCTGCAAAAGAATGAGTTTTGATGCACACTAAATATTAGTTTGCAAAGTGCCAGTTCTAAGGTAAAATCTCTCGTGATATTTAAGGTGGTTGAGAATAAATGTAACAAATTTCTAAGTCAAAGATCAATGATTTTTACTTTTTGACAATGACTATGAGGCGGAAATATAGCAGCTACTCGAACGAGATGCATTAAATGATAGATCTGTTGTCCTGAATGGTAGAGAGGACAAACAGCCACATGCAGGTTGCCAACTTACAGGGGATGATGGTGTGTGAAGTGGGCTTTTATTAGGGAGCGGATTTTCATGAAAAGTCATTTTTTTCACTTTAGAAAAACTCTGTTTAGTAAAGAAATAATTTTATGTTATGACACAATTAAATTACACATTTTATATGTAATTTTTTGCATTTCTCGTCTATTTCGACTAATAAGTCCTATTTTTTCTTTTCCGTCATTTTTAATGCATATTTAACGTGCAATTTCATCGATTTCAATATAATTTTAATGGAACTTGCTTCAAATAATATTTACGAGATGCAACAAATGTTCTCCACAGAATTCTTGAGTAGCCTATTCGATTTATTCGCTCCGAAATTGTAATGTCAACCGTTGTGAGTTTGTAATCTAAGGTTCCTGCGATGCCTATCGGTGTCATTACCTTTTCGCCCGATTTTGCGATATTACAGAAAAATCTTGGTAAAGAACAGCCCAAACCAAACTTTTTCAGGCTAAGTTCACTTTCACAACAGGAAGAAACCACGATTACATCAGTAACATACATCCGAAAGCTGGCGTTGTTCATCTGAACTAATTTTGATCAAACTTTTTTCTATAATTTTTCTTTGGTTTTAGAGCATTATAAAAAAAACTTTAAGAGCATTGTATTGATAATATTTGGCGAGTTGTAGATTTTCCAAATCCGTCCCCTAGTTATCATTACGCAGCTTCGACACCGTTCAGTTGAAAGAGTAGAAACGCGCTCACCGGCTGAAGGCTGCGGACCAGGAGGAGGGCTTGGAGGAGGAGGCGGAGGAGGCGGCGGTGCTGGTGGTGCTGGTGGAGTTGGACGGGCGGCGCTGGCGGCGCGAAGGGTCGTGAACGCGGAACACCTGCTCCCGCACGGTGCGTCTGGTGCGCGCCACCGGCACGCCCTCGCTGTCCAGTTCCTGACGCACACGTCAGCGCTCCGTTGATTATTCTCTTTAATTGTTGCGTCCATATCGACGCAACGCGTCCCCAAACTCCTTAAAGAGCGTTGAGCGCACTATGGAATAACCCCCTCGTTAACATTTACAACTAGAGTAATTCCCCGTTAATAAGTGCCCTCTTAGGGGCCGCTGTATTGTGAAGTCACGTCATAGTCAAGTCAGGCAATCGCCGACAGGTAGGGTCTTCGCGCTCGCGTCTTGTACGCACCCTGTGTTATCTGCTAATGTCATTAGTCGCGTATAGGGTAGAACGTTTATTGCTGGAGGTGGCGGTGATCTTCCCCCGCTGGATGGTAAGATCCGGCGCCAACCTACACGTGAGCTTGCAGGGTCTCCCCCTAGCCAAGCGGGAAGCCGATCCTCTAGGACACAGCGACCCAACCATGACAAGCTCTATGCTCCCGACCGGTCTCCCGGCATGTGTGATAGTGAAGTTCATGTGATTGCAAGTGTTTATAAGAAAGAGGTCACGAAAGAGGAAGGAAAGACCGCTGTCCGTTTGTTATGGAACTGCTTGGCTTTCGCCTGGTGTTGAACGAAGAAACAACGGAAAACTAACGATCAAAGCTACCGGTTGCTAGAATTCGCCTTCAGGCTGCGACAGAATTTGATCTAGCTATCGCGAGGCTAAGTCACTAGACGCCACGGGTATTTACTCTTTGTGATGGGATACAGTCTGGAAACATGTTTCTTTCTCTTCTATTCCCAGTTCTCCGTACATTTACATCATAGGCGTTTTCCTTTCTATAACGAAATCCCTTGCAGAAAAGAAGATTTACCATAACGACACACAGAAACCCATTGAGCACCTTTCCCTTAACCACGTTGAAATGCTGCCCATCCAGTATCTGCCCGGCTTGGAGAGTAAATTCTATCTAATTTGGAACGGCACAAGTAAATTCTTAATTACAAATCAACCGGTAATCATTTGTTTTATCGGTTTACAAAATGTGTCACGTTATCGAAATAATTTTCTTTTAGAAGATTTGGATTCTTTAAAACATTTAAGTTCTTGTATTTTGAATAGACACCAGAAATAGTTCAAAATACACTTCTCATAAAATTCAAATAACGGAAACAACAAAATATATTCATTGAAATGAGTGATTATTAGGGGAATGTTTTAGAAATATGTGGCTAAAAATAGTACTCAATGTAATTAAGTAAAAACTTGCTAATTAAAATAGCAAAGGTATCTTGTGAGAAAAAGATGTAAATCAATAGTTATTGTGTACCAAGACTGGGAAGCAGCATGACGAGATGCAGTCTAGAATTCTAAACTAGTTGGTCCTACAAACAATAATATTTCGCCCGTAACGTAAACTATGTTTTATTTTTAAACTATTTCACTTTTCACCTCAAACTACAGGCAATACAATGTTGTGTTGAAAATTAACAGTAAATGAGAAACTTATTCAGACAACCTGGGCTCGTGGGGGTCATGAATTGTAGGTCATGTGGTTCTACGTATGTAATAACATCATTATACACTTGGCCGAATTACCTTATTAAGTTTTTGTGTATAACAACTGTTATACTTGCAAAATCATTAGATTTTTAAACAAAAGTTTGCGAAAGCTGTTATTACTCACGTAACCTCTCAATTTGCCATTTCAGGTGAAAGCGACATAACGAAATTAAAAACAATCCGTAGGTGTGATCAGTTCCTCGTGTGAAGAGGAGAAAAGACGATGATAAAATGAGCTATATTATAGGAATAATGTTGTGGTATTGTTGACGTCATGACATGAAGATATAATGGAAGTCATATCTGTCAACTTAATATATTAATTATTTAGAGAGTCAGCATTGGGTGACTTTGCCGCCCTCATCAGTCTCGCTGTGATTGACGAAAGTCAGAAGACTGTCGAAAGCCCGCTCTCTAAAAAAATATATTAAGTTGTCAGAGATGACTTCCATTATTCCTTCAGTGAAAGATCTATATTCACTCCTGAATCATATTTCTTTCACTTAACACAAGAATTGACATTAATAAAATATTAATGTTCTGATAATTACCTCACGAATCGTACAGTGCTCTATTTCTTCAATGAGCTGAAACAGAACAATGCAAATTATTTTAAAATTACAAATAGCTCAAAGTTAATACTTTCCTGATCTAAATTTACTTCTGGATTATGGAGAAATTGGTGAAATAAATTGATTTTGCACCACTTAGATATAGATTTATTTAGTCAAAAAACATTAAAAACTGTATGTGAAGTACGGGGGAGAAGATTATCTACACACGTTTTCTTGAGTTCCAGTATCTCTTCCCATGATTTTAAATAAAAATACTTAAAATATGAGTTAAAGTTTAAAATAAAAAAATAAAATTAAAAAAGAGAGAGATAAGCAATACATCAAAAAAACTAGACATTTTGGTCTCTGAGTTATAAAAAACTTATTTGCATCTGTAAACAAATTGCAAAAATGATTTTTCTGCATTGCTAAAAAAATATTATTTCTTATATTATTTCACTTCAAATGTTATTTAACATATTCTTTGAACATTTCATAAAACAGAAATGGACATTTGTATATTTTTTTATTTTTTACAATAATATAAACCATCTTAAAAATTCCTAGTTTACATATACAATATTATAAGCACACTACTGAATTATAAGATTCTCTTGATTTTTTTATTTTGATTGAAAATGTAATAAAACATCATTCAGCAATACTGCTCATTTTTTCAAACAATGAAACTTCTAGTAAATTTAGTCTATTAACTTTATTAATCATGTATTATTTTAAATCTCGTTGTTTCATGCTATTACAATATGTTTCTGCTTCCAGAAGTAATTTGGTTTGGAATTTCATTTGTATAACTTTTAACTTGTACAATTGTTTTACATGCATTCATATCAAATAAGAATAACTTGACCTCAATATATTATTTCTAATTTGCCTCATGTTGCATAATGTGAACTATTGAAGAATCTTGCCGAAGAATGCTACTGGCGTTCAAGTTGTACCAATTGTATTAACCTTTTCACATTGAAAAATCCTGAAGTAGTATATATTGAATTCATGAAAACATCGTGAGCTTCATGACAACTCATGAAGTAGCATATTTTGTGAAAAGGGAAAATGAAACTATTGCAGTAGTGATTTCATTGAACCACGAGTGTAACATGAAGAGAATGACAATATGAAACTTTCATTCAGACTGAAACACGAATATGTTCTGGAACCACTCCACCGTTTATGAAATTACCTTTGAATTAAATTCATTTCAATTTTCGGTGTGTATGTAAATGTTACAGCTGTCATTTCACTCACACTTCTGTGAAGCTTAGGGATGGCAATTTCTAGTTCATATGTTGGTGTGTATATAAATATATATATATATATATATATATATACACACATTGGAATATATTGAAATATATATATGTGAACATTCCATGTAATTTCTTTCCTCAAGTCAATGACAGACACCATGTGTAGTGACACAAAAAAATTCATTGTTATATATGAATTACACTTTTGGTGAAATGTAAATAAAACTTATTCAAATTCACATGAAATTAAGTAGGCTTTATTGAAATATTTTCAGTACAAATTTATATATTTTTGAATATCTAGTATATAATTCATTTCTGTGGAGAAGCTATGTAATTAATATACACAACATGACAACAAATTGGTATACGGATCACTAAAAACATTGCATTAAAAAAGTCGTCCAAATACGTTTAAAAATTAAATAGTTCCTTTATTCATGTATGAAACAGTTTTCCTACACAACATATTTTCCATTCTGCGAACCAAGAACCGTTGCTCAGATGTTAATGTAGCGAGTTCCTTGTATACACCTAAATTTATTTCATCATTTCCAGAAAGTAACTTCAAATTTCATATTTTTTAACTTCAATGGTATTGTATTAGAATGATAATTAAAAGTGATGCATCACAATGAAATCGAGATTTCAATTACTTACCAAATCCTGAATACGAGAATTGCCATCCCTAACATTTAAGCAAATTTAGCAATGAAATAACTATTGCCTCATAATGGTCAAAAATACTAGTACAGTTCATGGCTTTAGGAGCAATTATTACTGACTGAATGAATTGGGTGCGGTACTTATGAGCTTTGCAACGCTGCGGGGAAAATGATGGAAATTTAAATAAAATAAGAAAATAGTGCCAACAAAAATTATTTTAAAAAGTAATTCGTGAATTTTCACATAAGTATGTATTTTTAGTATTGATTTGAAAATATTATACTTATATTTTCCAAATGACTTTCGAATTACTCGTTAACCGTTTCCGTATTAGCATCGCCATGCATTTTCAGCTTCGGTGCCTTTATTATTATTATTATTATTATTATTATTATTATTATTATTATTATTATTATTATTATTATTATATGTAAGATTATTAGTAAAAACATTCTCAAAACTACTCCAAGTTCAGCTCTTAAAATTAACACTTATAATCGGTTTTGCTTCATTCAGTCTTTGCTTCGATTTTGTACAAGAATAAAAACATCTGAAAGAGATTTCAGGTGCTTGGAACCACGAGTTATTACACTTCAATTACTATAAAAATATGTTTAAACATTATAAATACACTGAAGGGGGGAAATTGAATTGAACTTCAACTTTATCAAAAAAACACACACCTAAAGGAGGGGCCAAAAATAGGGGGGTTAAAAGTGCCCCCAAACCAAATCGATAATCGTGATGCTCACATGAAAGAGAATACAAAATGTCATAGATTCCCAAAGAATCAGCCACCTAGGGTAATTTGTAGAAAATATATTATTTAGAGATTATTTATATATTATTAGATTATATTCGAGTCAAGATAAAAAAATGGACAAACATAATTGAATTTGAAGGTATACTTGTCAACCAATTTTGACGCCGAATT